CTGCAACAAGTACAAAGAAAAAAAAAGGATCCGAATGCGGTTTAACACCTGCTCCCGGACGGCTGTTTTATTAGGATGCAGCAGAGCTCCTCAAACCAGCCACGCATGCGTGCTCACTGTTTATTAAAAATTCACTGCGCCACCGTCCTTCCCAAAGCCCTTCCCTCGGGAAGGGAGTAACCTGAATGACCGAATCCTAAACGTGCTTCGGTACCTGTTCGAATCACCTGGACAAGCAAAGTCCGTAGATTCTTCTCTCCCCTCTACGCGTCTTTAACAGAACCACCCCTGCCCCCGCCGCCGGTATTTCGAGAAAGTTCTAGCCGCACCACCCAAGAAGAGAAGATGATCTCGACGCTTGCGCACTAACACTTTCTCCGCCCTCTAATCGTAACCGTGCCCGTTATTCTTTTTTTTTTTTCCTCCTTCTGGTCGGTGGCTATGTTAAGAAACGACTTAAATTACTGCCGCGGAACCCCTAGAAACGCTAAGAACGGGCAATTGTGACGTCGGCCTTTGCTCCGAATTCTCCTCACCTCCCTTCGCCTCGCTAATGCTCACGACCGCACCGCGTGTCTACCCGTTCCTCTCGCCCGACTCCCGTCACGTGAATGGCGTTTCCACCAATCCGGTAGGCGAGTGACAAACCGACATACTGACGGACTTGAGGTGGGGGGGGGAGAAAGAGGCGAGGAAAAGGGGAGCGACTGAACTGAGGGGAAGGGGTGTCGTCCAAACCCGACTGTTACCGTAGCTGTTGGAACGGGGTTGGAACTCGGGGCGCCGCTCACTGGCAGCGGGTGGCTGAGCAGCCTGGAAAGGACAGCCCGTCTTGTCAGGAGTCGTCTCTCTCTTCCGCTGAGGAAAGGTAAAGAGAGGAAGAAACTGCCAGTGTCGCTACCGCAGATTCGGGTCCGGGGAGGGGGAATGAAGGCGGCGGCGGCAATTACGTGGATGACACCCTCGGTTAATATCGCTGTGAGGTGAGGGGGGGAAAGAGGTGGCGGGAATAAAAACAGCCGCGGTCGGGTTTTAACGCTGCTCCGAGATTTTCTCTTTCGCTTCCTTCTGCCATATATAGATATATACGTGTCTGTCAAACTCGCTCCTTTCTGCAGATGTGGCTGTTTTTCTGAGGTAGTGAGCGTGTATGTCCGCCCCTCTTCAGCCCCAACCCGGTCTATACATGGATGCGATGGATGGATGGACGTCGGTGTGTGTATATTATTCGTGCCTATGTATGTATGTATGTGTATGTGTGTGTCCGTGTGTGTGTGCTCACAAGCGCGTGTACGTGTGCGGACCCGGGTCAGTGCACAGACTACCGTGGTGCACCCCGCGAATCGCCCCTTCTTGGGGTCCTGGGTGTTGTGTGCTGAGCGGGAGTCGTTTTGCTCCGCTGTGTTTCCCCCCGGAGCGTTTGAGAGGAAGAGAGAACACTCCTCCTGCTTCCCACCCCCTTTCTTGCATTGCCTTTCCTCGTAATGGAGGTACTGCAGCCGGTTTGCCTTCCTAGAACGGGCACGAATCCTTCTCGGCTCTCCCGACACGCCTTCTCTCAGCCTCCACGAAAAGGCTTGCATTCTCTGGAACGGTCGCTCCGGAGGCAGCAATCCCCAAGCTTTCTGGCGCTCCCAGCCTGTCACCTTTGGCGCGGCTGCAGCTGGAGCCATGGCTGCCGCTGCTGTCACTACTTCTCCGTGCTTGTGGGCTGGTCCCTGATACGCGTTTTCTCTCCGCGTTCCTCATCGTATACGGTACTAAGGCTTCTGCGTTTAAAAGTAGGGTAATTCATAGCTATCCTAGCGCTGCTAACTCCCGAGTTTTCTGGTCTGCAGCATTGTCAGCCCTTTTTTAAAAGGAAGAGGCGGTGGTTAGCGGGCGCGCGCGCGCCCCCGCCCGTGAGTGTTTGCGTACATTTCTACAGGCTGCTGAGAGGGGGTGAAAAAAAAAAGAGAAAGCATAAACGGTGTTTCTAGAGCTTACGGAAATAGTTATTGCCAGCATCGATCGGATGGACAGTGTGTGCTAGGAGCAAAAGAGTATTTAAAAACTGCGCCTTAAGTTCAGACAAGCCGGTTAGCCTAGTTTGGTACAAGACATGTGTCTCTTGGCTGGATCTTAAGAGGGAATAAAATATTTATATCTTTCTGTTATATATTAAATAGCTTTCTGTTTCTTGCTTGACTTTTGCCAGTGCTAAAATTCTTATTTAACCTTTAAAATTGAAACGACTTGAACATTAAAGAAAGGAAAAGAAAAAGAAGTGCACTCTTTGGCTAAAAATGGCCAGAGTTTTGAGAGTGAGAAAAATAGCATATTGAGAATCATGGAGTTTGGTGGACGTGGATAAGACTATTAGATATTTCTATGTGCTTTCAGACAAAACACTCTTCAAATTTGCCACAGTGAATACTTAATGCAATTATACTGAAATTATATAGTAATGAATTATGTAATTAATAAATATACCTGGAAGACAGGAAGTGTTGCAGAAGATTTAATTAGCTCTCACTTGGTTCTGTGCCTCACACAAGCCATTACTTTTGGATCATACTGACTGAAAATAATTGCAGATGTCACAGATGTATAATGGTAATTGACTGGTCTTTGAGGTGGTCCTTTATCTGGTTCCAGAAATTCCACACAGAAAGTTGCTGTTTCTTTTTATACTGAAAATAGGGGAAGTCTCTTCCCCTGAAATACATACATATGTATTATTTAGGAATACATACATCTATATATAAGAACCACTTGTTTATCTGTTGTCCTAAATGAAAGGTTTCCTTCCTTTTGCTCACAAACATTCTGGAATTTTTTTGCTTCTCATCCTTTTCCTTACTAGTCATCTTGACCTGTAAATCACACAGAAATTTGGTTAGCTATAGAATAGGGTGCAAGGAGGTTTTGTAATGTTTTGTATATGATACATACTGGCAGGGGTGAAATCTACTTATCTTCCCTACCGGTTTGGAAGTGCATGCGCCGCATCACGTGTGTGCGCAGATCCTCTGCACATGCGGAAACCCTTCTGTGCATGTGCAGATGGTAAAAAACAGGTTACTTCCTGGTTAAAACCAGGAAGTAACTATGACTGGGCAGGTGGGCGGAGTCTCATGCTGCCGTCGCTACTGGTTCTCAGAACCACCCGCCGCCATCGCTACCGGTTCGGCCAAACCAGTCCGAACTGGTAGCATTTCATCCCTGGATACTGGTAATTGTATGCCACATGGCATGATGGAAAATGTCATACAATGTTGGCAGTATTTCAACTGGCAGAAGAAAATGAGATTATAAATGACATGGTAATTGCCAGATTGGACCAGAAAAGGTAACTCAGGGTTGATGACAGGTAGAACTGCACTTAATCTTCTGTTTCCTTAGTTGAGCTCTTTTCAAGATTGTTATCCAAAGTCCTAATCATAAGTGTGTTAGATTATTGCATTATATTTGCATTTGAAATTGTTATTTAGCCATACATAAATGTATTTGGGGGGAAAGTTTGGTAATTTCAGTTTGAGACTAATATTCATATAGAGATAAAGTATATGAATAGTTGTAAGTAGGCCAAGAAGGTTTTACCAGCTGTGTAAATCAACCCACCCACCCCTGAGATGAATGCTCCCTCATTCTGCTGTCAGAATCAGTAACATGGACTACTGCACCACAACATAAATATGTGCTGGAATAATGGAAAAATGATTCAGTATTTCTGATAATCATGCTTGTGGTTAAAAATATTCATTCTTATTTATTCTGAATACTATTCATATCCATTCTAGAAAATATTCTACATCTACAGGAAAAGTATTTCACTCTACTTAAAAGATTAGGTAGATGGTATGGAAGTACTTTTGGATCCATTATTAACATTAGAGTCTTAAAGGTCTCAGGGGCTTTTACAGCTATTTATTAAAATAAAATTAGAGCTTGTGACCAGCTTATTTTGTAATAATTATTTTGTAAATAATTATTCAATTATTCATAGCTTTCTATGGACAATTACAATGATTTATTTGCAACTGTGTCTTTGGAAACTGTAAAAACTAAGGTTCATTCAAATCAGCATCTATGCCAGCTGGACTGACAGGTGCAAAATATATTATTTTGTTGCTTTGCAGTGTGTCTATAGTCCATTTCCAAACCCAGTTCAAAGTACTAGTGTTCAATTTACTAGCACTAAATGGTTTAGTAACTTAGGAACCTCTAATATTTACCTATTTGGATTCTAGTGATCTCTTCTCTCCAAGTACCTTTGCCAAATTAAGTGAAGCAGATAATCACAAGAAGGGCCTTTTTAGGACAGGTGTTTTGTTTATGAAACCTGAAAACAAACCTGGAAAACTTTGACACCTTATTGTGTATCTTAAGCAATCATTTTATTCTGATTTGTAGTATTGTTATTCTTTGTTACTATTCTTTGTTTTTCTCTCTATGGGTGATGTAGAAAGGTAGCATACAAAATAAATCTAATAAAATATTGAGATTATTGTATTAACCAATTTAAAATTGTTGCCAAGATGAAGGATAATTACTCCATTTATAGGCTAGCTTTTTAAAATAAGCTTTAGATTTGCTTTCTTCTCCTCCCTTAATTATGTATTTTGATTCATGGACACAATTTCTGCATATCTATTAGTGATTGTGAAAGCACCATGAATATTGACTTTTGCTTACAAATGCATTTTAGTTAGTAAGCAAATCTGCAAATACAGAATCCAGAAATAAGTATAATCGACTATGCAATTCAAATATAGACTATTCCAGATCTCAATAATTGGATAAAAATGCCAAATGCTGTCTGACTGTGTCACAAATAAAATAATAATTGGCATATTAATTACAATATATTGGTTTTCAACTAAAAAGGATGTTTAAAACCCAGAAGTATAAAACGGAATTTCTGATCTAAATACTGCAAATTCATTATAATATTTTCTAAATTTATAAATTTCTGTAGGACTACTCTGGTCAACATACAAAGATACTAGACAAGATGATTTGCAAAATAAGTAAATATTTTTAATTGATTTTTACAGTGTTTGTACCATTAACATCTTAAATTTATCTGATCGTACTTACGTGAAATCCAAATATGATCATATTAAACATAGACCTTTCCATATCACTATGATTTTGTGGTATTAGAACCCCAATTAGCATACTATCTCCACAAGAGTAACCAAGAAAAGCATTACCTGTAATTAAGCTTTTCTGTTTATTTTTTCTGTTCCTGTAAAAGTTATTATTTTCTTCAATAATGTGGCCCTTCTTCCTCCTTATGTATTAGAGTGAGGTGGATGTTTTTGTCTAATCGTCTACCTTTTGGCATACTATTTCAAGTTCTCATCATATCACTTCATTTTCCACAGAACTAATTTATTGATTTGTTGATTCATTAATTCATCTAACTATTCTAGTGCCACTGTAAATTTTGGGTCCTAATTTAATTTTCCCTTCTTTTCTAATAACCTCCTTTCAAAGACCAGAGGTAAAATATCTATCTAAGCTCTAAAATGCTATCCACTCTTCGTCCTCCCTGCTCAATCATTTTACTTGGATGTTTTATTGACAAACAACAAATTGATCGATTGGCATATGGGAGAAAAAACAACCCCCCCTCCCCCATGCATCAAGCTACTTTCTTCTTTATCTTCTGGCCATTTTCAACTGAATTTCTTTGGAAAGAGCTAAATATTCCTTTCTCATTTGGTTTGTAATTTGTTACATGTAGAACATATGCATTGGTAGCAGACATCTTGAGTTCATGTAAGGTAAGAATGGTGCATTATGGGAAAGTGTAGCAAAACTGTGCTGATATTCAGTTAGTATAGGGGTGTCAAACTGGCAGCCCACGGGCTGGATGTGTCACGTGCAGACCACGCCCACTCCGGTTCCACAAAGGCAAAAAACATTGTGATATGTCACGTGACACGATCGAGTTTGACACCCATGAGTTAGCAGGATAATGACATGTAGAAGGAAAGCAGGGAATTCCATGGATTGGTCAATTTTAGATCAATTATCTAAGTTTTCGGATTTTTCCACTGATTAGAAACAGGTAATGAGGCTTACTTCATAAAATAAACATGCACCTTGAGGTCAAACATTCTAAATGCCTGTATGATATAATAAGTCATGCAACCTTATGTTTAAACATTCACCTGGCAGCCAGAAATGATAAAGTATTTTATATAGATGACTATACTGGAAGAGTATAGTCATCTATATAGTATAGTACAGGCAGTCCTTGATTTACAATAGTTCATTGATTGACCATTCAAAGTTACAACCTGACTGAAAAAAAGTGACTTAAAACTGTTTTGCACATGACCATTGCAGCATCCCCATGGTCACATAATCAAAATTCAGATGCTTGGCAACCGGTTCATATTTATAATGGTTGCAGTGTCCTCGGCAGTGGTGAAATCTTCCGCGGGTTGCCACCAGTTCGCTGTCCATGCTGGCTAATGGGGGTGTCTACAAATTAAGCTAAGCAAAAAGCAAAACAAAACATCACATTATGACCTTTACAACATTTAAAGATATTTAGAGGGATATGCAAAAACATTTCGAGAACTTTGGAACAACATCAGAACAGTTCCAGTAAGATCTGAACAACCCATTTCAAATGACAGTTGAAGTAACAAATCTTTTCAGCTCGAAATATTTTGAATTCAAAATATTCTGCACATATGTACTGTTTAAATTTAAATCTAGTTTTTCCCCAAACTCAGTGGTTTTGTTTTTAGATAGAAAAATATAATGGAAGTTAGTCTCTCTCCCTGAGATAAAGTGAAATATTTTTTTAAAAATATGTATGCTTTCATATATTTATTTTAATTCAGATTCTATTGTACACTGACTAGAATTCCTTTCATTTTAAACAGTTATTTTATTCGTACTTTTAGAAACTATGAAATATTTTAATTTAATTTAATTTAATTAATTCAATTTATATGCCGCCCCTCTCTGAAGACTCAGGGTGGCTCACAATACATTTTAAAAAATCATTATAAAAAACATTTAAAAATTAAAAACATTAAAAACTCATTCACGCCATTCATGGCCGGATCTCACCAGATCACAAGAGCGAGATCAACAGCCCCAGGCCTGCCGGAAAAGCCAGGTCTTCACTGCTTTTCAGAAGGCCAATAGGGTGGGGATGGTCTGGACCTCAGGAGGTAACTGCTTCCAGAGAGCTGGGGCAGCCACAGAGAAGGCCCTCCCCCATGGGCCCTCCAGCCGGCATTGTTTAGCTGACGGGACCCGGAGGAGACCAACTCTGTGGGATCTTACCAGTCGCTGGGAGCTATGCGGCAGAAGGCGGTCTCGAAGATAACCTGGCCCTAAGCCATGTAGGGTTTTAAAGGTAATAACCAACACCTTGAATTGTGACCAGAGGCCAATAGGGAGCCAGTGCAGCTCGTGGAGAATTGGTGTAATGTGGGTGTACCTAGATGCACCCACAACAGCTCGCGCGGCTGCGTTCTGGACCAACTGTAGTCTCCAAACACTTTTCAAGGATAGCCCCATGTAGAGTGCGTTGCAATAATCTAACCGTGAGGTGACAAGGGCATGAGTGACTGTGAGGAGAGCCTCCTGATCCAAGTAGGGTTGCAATTGGTGCACCAGGCGAACCTGTGCAAAGGTCCCCCTAGCCACAGCTGTCAGATGTTGCTCTAATCTTAGCTGTGAGTCTGGGAGGACACTCAAATTGCGAGCCCGTTCTGAGGAGGACAATTTCTCCCCCCCCCCAGAACCAAGGATGGACAATCAACATAGTCTTTAGGAGGCAATACCCACAGCCACTCGGTCTTGTCTGGGTTAAATCTGAGCCTGTTGACTCCCATCCAGACCCTCACAGCCTCCAGGCACCGGCACATCACATCCACCGCATCACTGAATTGATGCGGGGTAGAGATATACTGCTGGGTACCATCCGCGTATTGTTGATATCTCACCCTGTGTCGTCGGATGATCTCACTCAGTGGCTTCATGTAGATGTTAAATAGAAGGGGAGAGAGGACCGAGCCCTGAGGCACCCTGCAAACGAGGGGCCTAGGGGTCGACCTCTGTCCTCCTACCAACACCGACTGTGATAGACCAGAGAGATAGGAGGAGAACCACCGTAACACAGTGCCTCCCACTCCCAGCTCCCTTAGTTGTCCCAGAGGGATGCCATGGTAAATGGTATTGAAAGCCACTGAGAGGTCAAGTAGCACCAAGATGGAGGAATGACCCCCATCTCGGGCTTGCCAGAGATCATCCATCAGCGTGACCAAAGCAGTTTCCGTGCGGTAGCCAGGCCTGAAGCCAGACTGAAAAGGGTCTAGATAATCTGTTTCCTCCAATGACTGCAGGAGCTGAAGTGTCACCACTTTCTCTACAACCTTTCCCACAAAGGGTAGGTTGGAGACTGGACGAAAGTTCTTTAATTCTGCTGGATCCAGGGAAGGCTTCTTAAGGAGGGGTCTTACAATCACTTCCTTTAATGGTTGCGGGAAGGCCCCTTCCCTCAAGGACGCATTAACTAAAGCCTGGAGCCAGCCTCGTGTCACCTCCCTGCTGGCCAAAACCAGCTAGGAGGGGCAGGGTCCAACAAACAAATGGAGGAACTCATTGCTCCTACAGCCTTGTCCACTTCCTCAGGAGTCACCAGCTCAAACTCATCCTACACAATAGGACTAAGACCTGCCCCCGTCATCTCGGTCGGAATTGCCCAATCAGAGTCCAGATCCATCCGAATCTGAGCGACTTTATCCGACAGAAACTGCACAAACTCCTCAGCTCTACCCTGCAAGGGCTCCCCCACTCCCTACATTAAGGAGGGAGTGAGTAATCCTAAATAGGGCAGCTGGGCACGAATCAGCGGATGCAATAAATGCGGGAAAATGCGAACATTTTGCCGCCCGTATACATTTCTTTTTAATGTTTTTGCAATTAAATGGAAGAGTACAGTCATGATTATTTCATAATATATCAAACATACCGCCAATTCTTTGTAAACTATCCATAATGTTTCTTTCACAAACATTGTTAGAAATAATGTATTTAGGATAGACATAGATGTTCCCTTGTCAGAGGATTTGGAAAAGCGGTGTAGGTACTGTTTTCTATATTCAGTTGGGGTGTGGAGCAAAACTTCTTCAAAATCCAATTTCCTGCATAATAAACATCTTCTCTTTATTAGATTTAGCTTTGGAGCATGTAGGGTTTCACAAAAAAGAACTAAGCAGAATTAAGATTTTTGCTTCACTATGCATCATGTATTGGCTGTGCATCATGGTTGATGAGCTGATTTTGAATTTTGTGGAATATAAATTTGCTTCAATTTCATTGCTGATTCTAAAGAAACTGCTGAATTTTGTGTGAAATGTAAGATACAGTATTTTAAATTTTTTGGAGAAGTTTTCAATCAGTAATGACTTGAAATGTTTGTATCTGAGTGTGTTGAATTCTGGAATGTGTTATTGATAGTGGTGATGCTAACTTATATTTTTTCAATTTGTAATATGTCTGCAAATGCAGATTTTAAAAAAGGTATTTCCAAATGTTGGATCTCTGTTTAATTTTTTTGTAAATGAAAAAAAGGTTTGCAAAGCATAATTAAATCCAATAATAAGACATTACTGAAGACTAACAGTAACTAACTTTTAAAAACTGCAGGACCCTCAATAGCAGGGGTGTCAAACTCAATTTCATTGAGGGCCACATAAGGGTTGTGTTTGACCTTGGGGGTGTGGGGTGTGTGTGGCCAGGGAGGCGTGGCCAGCTCAATGTCACTTGTGTCGGGGACACCTGTGATGGCCTGGGTGGGGCTGGGGACATCTTCCTGCAGCCCTCTGCCAATGAAAACTGCCCTCCCAACCTCTATTTTCGCTGGCAGAGAGCTGAAGGAAGCCATCGCAGCTGAAAAGAGAGCCCAGGAGGGCCTCATGCGGCCCTGCTGAGCTCCGTTTTTACTGGCAGAAGCACCACAGGCTGGTCCTTTGCTATTTCCAGGTCGGCCCCACAGGCCAGATTTAAGCAGCCCATGGGCCAGATTTGGCCCATGGACCTTGACTTTGACACCCCTGCTCTATCATACTTGTCTTCACTTTGGACTTGGTGATAGTAATCTGATAACTATAGTTCTGTTTTTATTAAACAACCAACAAAGGTAATTTTTCTCCAATATGTTTTCTCTTGTTTAATATTCAAAGAAACAACACTTATGTTGCTCCCCATATTTGTTGTGTGAGCAATCTGTTGCAAAATGTTCTGGCATTTTCCAGTGTGATGGTAATTGTGTGAAGCTTCCAAAATAACATTGGCTGAACTATTTTTTTCTATTTACAATCATTGCATTAAACAAGTAATAAAATAAAAATAATTTTAATTTGAATTCTAATTAATTTTAAAACATGTGTAAAACATGTTTTATAATGTAAATATTTTCCAGCCATTTTAAATATAATACCATGGTAATATATATAAAGAAAGTAACTCCCACTTAGGAAAATGAATACGGCAATAATAGTTGTAAAAATGTTTAAACAAAAATAGCCAGTTTTTTTTAAAAAAACCCTTTCCTTGCATTAATATGTACTGCATAGTTATACAAACTTTGGCATTTCAAAATTTGATAATTTTACTATATATTTTCTACCTGTATGGTGTTCAATTTAGAGCACAGATTAGGACACAGATTTTGGTATGATTTACTCCCAAACAATATTATTCAATTTTATGGCCAGACATTCAATATAACACTGAGTTTAGTATGTTCATTGATTGATTGGTGTTATGACCATATCAATAAAATAAAATAAAGGTAAAATACAAGGTCTATTTACAAGATGAAATAGGTAAAAGAAAACTCAATAATAAAAAATATATGTGCTTAATACAAACATCAATGTTCAGATAAACACATTGCCTTTACTCAGTACACCAATCTATTTAATATAATAGATCATTGATGGTTAACCTTTTTGGTGCTGAGTGCCCAAAGCGTGCGCGTGAATCCACATGTGCATGCCTGAACCCCCAAAATGCAATGCGAGCACCCCCGTGCATGTGCCCTGCCCCCGTGCATGCACGCGTGTTCCCTGTGCATGCGTGTGTGTTCCCCGCACATGCCCACCGCATATTCCCCCCACACCCCATTTTGGTTACCAGGTTGGTGCAGGAGGCTTTCCAGGCCCAAAATGGTGGAGTGTAGGGGGCCTTGCGCTGTGCCCCTATGCCCCGTTATGGCTTCCAGGTTGGTGCACGAGGCCTTCCAGGCCCAAAACAGGGCATGAGGGGCGCACGCGCAAACCCCCAAAATGCAATGTAAGCGTCCTGTGCATGCACCTCGTCCTCCACACATGTGGCTCACCCCCTCGCACATGAGCGGCAGAAACCTGGCTGGCAGGAGCCGCATGTGCATGCGCGGTGTAGCTGGGCTGGGGCAACGGCTGGCGTGCCTGCAAGGAGGGCTCTGCGTGCCACCTGTGCCATAGGAT